GGTTGAAAGACTTGCAATTCTAGGCAAGGAAGACACACTGGATTGCAGCCTGAGGTAAACAGTGAGGTGTTATTAGTGCTTATGAAGTGTCTTGGTCTCTTTGTGTTATTATTATTTTAAATTTCACCTGAAGACAGCTCTCACTATGTTGCCCATGCTGGCTTTGAACTCACTCTTTAGCTCAGGCAGACCTTGAACTAGTCATCCTCCTGTTTCAGCCTCCTGAGTAGTTGGGATCACAGGTCAGTGCCATTAGGCACAAGTGAACATGGAATTTACCTGCATACCTTTAGCCTGTTTTGTTTGCTCATATCTCTGACAAACCACTGTTTTTGAACCTGCCACATGGTCTAGCCCATGACTGGGATGACAAGAATTGCTCCTTAAATCCCTTTTAGGATGGAAAGAGAGACTATCAGAGGACCCTCGTGGTTGGCAGGCACATCCTGGTAGCATGTAGTGAAGACTGACAGGTGAGCCTCAGAACATCCACTCAGGGCATAACTTGCCACTCGGCAACACAGACTCAAGTGAGACATTTAAATCAGGAGACAAAACCTGAGCCCTGGTGACTCATGGAAGAAGAGCAAATGGCAGCCATTCCTGTGGTTCATCCAATTTTGTTAAAAAAATTCTGTGTGTTCCTCAGTCCATGCCACTGTATATGTCACCAGAGAGGTCACAGCTATGGTAGAACTTATGACCAGCCAGTTTATGGCATCTCTAAATAACTAATAAAATAGACTCACATCTGTGACTGCAGCTGGACTTACTTGTTTAGAATCTCTGTGACTGTGGCTGTTTTCATACTATTTCTTTCTTTGTGGTGTTGGGGATGGAACCCAAGCTCTGTGAGGTAAGGCTCTGTCACTGAGCTACACCCCAAGCCTTTCTGTTTATATTTTAAATCTCAAAAAGCTTACTGACTACAAGTATAAATGGAAGCATAATTAATGAACTGATGATAACTATTGGGGGGGCATTTATCCTAGGGTAACAAATCCATGTTTTGTACAGTTTTAATTATCCATGAATAAGTGAATGACATGATAGCTACCTTTTTATTGTCATCCAGGACAGTGTTCATATTTTCAATCCAAACAGCATCCACTGGCCCATCAAATATAATCCATTTGCGGTCATCAGTTATAGAAGATGCTTGTTCTCTGAAAGCATTGGCTAGGACACCATCTGTCCACTCGTGGCTCACTGCATCAAAACAGCCATACAGCTGCCCCATTGTGATGGCCTTGGGGTTGATGATCTTGAACTCTACAGCAAACTCCTCCATCTGGTTGGCTGGGTGAGAAAGTCCGGTCCATTACAAAGGCTTTGGTGAGACCAGACATTAGACAGAAGACCACCAGATTGGTGAGTCTATAAAATGATGCTCAGCCTTTATAAAGACTGGGATATCTAAATAGATTAGGCCTCATACTGTGGGTTATCAGAACCATTAGCTTGTAACCATACTTTCTTCTGAGTCTTATTTCAAAACTGGACAAATGTGAGATTCGTGACTAAAGGCATCTGACTTGACTGAGAAGAACTCAAACATTAAAGAAAAAAAAAAAAACCAATATTCCACTAGCTTTCCTTTTGTGCCTGGTGTCAGCCGCCCTTGGCCCTGGCCTGGGATGATGAAACCTTGACAGGTGAAATGATTCTGAGGAACCATCACTGTGTTTCTCCATCCAAAGGACTGGTTAAGCCCTGCAAGCCTCTCAACTGCTCTTAACTGACATTTGTCCCCGAGAAACAAGCACTACTGGTACCAGGAGCCAAGTGGCTGGCAGATGGCATAGCACCATCTATTTAATGACAGAAAGTGACATTTTTAAAATTTAAACTTATTTTACTTATTAAATTTTGGCTGTGGTAAAATGAGACATTCCTTCATCACCACTTGGAGCATGTACATAATCTTTCAAGGAAAAGTTGAAGCCCATAGGCCAATAAAGAACCAAAGACAAATGATGCAGGCTCCTCTCTCCTTAGTTCCCTTTCTTTTTAGAAAATCTATTTATTTATTTATTTATTTATTTATTTATTTAGTGTGTGTGTATGCCCCATGAGTGCAAGTACCCCCTAGAAGCCAGAAGAGGGCATCATGTCCCACAGAGCTGAAGTTACAAGAGGGTTGAGAGCAGCCAGACATGGGTGTTAGGAACCCAGTTGAGGTCCTCTGGAAAGGCCACAAACACTCTTAACCTCTGAGACTTCTCCTTAGCTCCTCTTTAGATTCATTCAAATACCAAAACTAGCACTGTGTTTAAATTTGAAATGCCCAAGTTATTTATTGGGACTGGAGAAATGGTCAATCCTCAAAGCAAAAGCTCATTATAGTTTATTAGAGAACAGTTTTACCTAGGTGGGGTGGTACATACCTACAATCTCAGCACTTGGGAGACTGAGGCAGGAGAATCATGAGTTTTAAGACAAGCCTGGGCTATAATGGTGAGATACAGCCTCAAAAAATGACATAAAAAATTAAAACTCCCAAATAAATAATAAGGAAAAGAAAACATTTATTTATTTATTTATTTATTTATTTATTTATTTATTTATTTATTTTTGACACAAGGTCTATTTTGTATATCTCACTGTCCTGGAACTCACTATGTAGACCTGGCTGGCTTCCAACTCAGAGATTGCCTGTCCCTGCCTGCTGAGTGCTGGTATTAAAAGCATGAGCCACCATGCCTGGCAAGAAAATATTTTTAAATGGAATCTAGGTCCTCTGGAAGAGTGAAAATCACTATTAACCACTGAGCCATCTCTCCAGTCCCAAAGAAAACCATTTTAGTTCAATTTCTTATATAAACTATGTGCAACATAGACATGCTTTTCAAAATTACATGTTTGCATATTCTACAGAAACAAACAAATGGAAGAAAAGAAACCCACAGTTTGGTGATAAAACATAACCTCTGCTTGTTACATATATTTACCCACATTAGTGCTTCTCAACCTGTGCTCTGCTTTTAACTCATATATCAACACCCAAGCTGGCAAAGCTCATTGCCTGGCATTGTGTCCATAGAGTCAGACAACTGTCCAGGAAGTCCTGACCTCCCTGCAAGCCAAGGGGGCAAGCTTTACCTTCATGTAGTTCACCCAGAGCTGCAGCCAGAACTTTATAAGCTGATGTCTTGCCACCCATAGGATCTCCAACAATCATGTAGCCATGTCTTACCAGCATCATCTCATAGATCTGAGAAGAGAAATAATACAGGGTGTTAATTCTGGCACACTGCCCTGCACTACAACTGAGAGACCAATGAGAGGCAGATAGCAGATCTTCAAGATCACATTAACTCTTATGAGCTGCAGCCCTTTTAGTGGTCTATTGTTTAAATATGTCTTAGTTAAATATAGATGTTCCTTAGATTGCCTACTAGATTGGAGGTGCTATTTGTCCTTCACCTGTTTATATGCTAATTATCACTTGATTGCTCAGATCACAGCCCTGAATACATCCAGCCCCTGGTGGAAGGAGAGAACCAACTTTTGAAAATTATCCTCTGAGACCCCAAGAGAGACATATACCAGTCTGCCTAGGAAGGGGAAAAAGACAGGATCTCCTGAGTAAATTGGGAGTGTAGGGGCGGGGGGGAGGGGAGGGCGGAGGGAAGAGGAGCAGAGGGAAAATGTATAGCTCAATTTAAAAAAATTCAATAAAAGGAAAGAAATGTGAAAAAAGAAAATTGTCCTCTGACTTCAATACTGGCATGCCAATTTACAAACAAAAATAATAGACTCATATTTGGATAGACTATAATAATTTAA